ACCACTAAAAAATAAGAAAAAGCAAATGTGACGACACGGAAAGAGATGAAACAAAAGACTAGGGGGAAAAGTACCAACTCACTTCATTTGGCAGCGCTGCTCTCACGATTCTATAATTAGACCAAGACAACGTGCAATTACCAAGGAAGAGAATTCAAAATCAACTGGTTTCCATACCATTTCAAAAAGTTCACGCGCTCCTGAAAAGAAAATTCGCAACAGAATCAATAGGATTGCTAATAGAACCAACAGTTCAAGTCTAAAAATATGAAGAAGCGATTTTTGAAAAAAAAATTTCTATGCAAGTTTATATCGCATTGTGTTTTAAAATTCAAGAAATGCGATCTAAAACTACTACTACTTACTATTGAACTAGCCTTATACATAAAACAGTTACAATTGAATAACCAAGTTTAATTTGCCGATTTTTTTAAGAACGTTACTTTAAAATTTTTAATTCAAATATACTGCTTCCTCCTTAAAGCTGTCTTCACTTAATGTTAAGTATAGGATTTTTGAATTCGAAGTATTTTTTCAGATATAAAAATATACTCCACAATTAATATTATATTCTAGCTTCACTATCCTATAAAACAGTGTTTCGTAAACTAGGGATCACGTGACTTATAGCTGGGGTCAACAAAAATTTTAAGATTTTTCATATATGTTTTTGCGTGAAATAGCTTTTTTGTCATTAATAATACTTTAATCGTTTTAGATTTTTATAGGCGAAAGCCATCGTATAGGGTGTGACTGTATCCCAACTTAAGTCATCCATCGTCATCGAGTAACCCAGGGGTGACCAACATTTTCGGAAAGTGTCAATATATAATAAAAAAACTATGTGTGCCACTTTCAATTTTTCCAACAAACAAAAAAAAATTATTTAAAAAAGGAAAATAATGGTACTTAAAGACTTATGGGATTTTTATACAAACAGAACTTTTTTTTATTCATGTCTAAGTAGTGGAAATTGAAAAATAATATATTAAATAAAACAAAAAGAACAAATTTAGATTTTATTGTTAAAAAAACGTTCTACAAGTTTGGTATAACATAAAAATAAGTAATATTAGGGTAGGAGTTCTAGAAGATGCTAACAAAAGTTGTTTTAAGTGCATATCAGTTAATTTTTAGGAATATTTTGATTGTAATATAACACAATATTGTTTTCTCCCAGATATTTTAAACCTCTAATTCCGGAGTGCACTTTCTTTAAAAGTGCAAAGACACAACAATGGAGACTCTATATTGCTTCTGTTGAAACTCAATTAAGCGTACTTCAAATGAATTTTTTTGTTTTTGTCAAAGACAATCGTATTTTAATAAAATTATTTAAAAAATGTTATTCATTATTATCTTTTCAAATCTCTGAATTTTTCAATAGGTCTTCGCGTACCACCAATCGGTTAACTTCCCCGCTCTTTGTATATAGACACACAGGGCCGCTTTAGGCTTAGGCACGTGCCTAGGGCGCAAAGAATTGGAGGGAGAAAAAATTAAAATTGCAGCCAACGAACCACCACTACGAAGCAGAAATCTTCATGAAGAGGAGCAGGAAGATATGACAAAATAGGCGAAATACTTGGCTCTAAGCTACCCCGAAGGCATCGATGAAGAACAGTTTGTGCAAACGTTTCAAAAGGTATATGAAGGTGAAAAAATAACACGAATCCCTTCCTACTTCAAGAAAAACATGTTAGAATTCCCAAATTTACAAGTCACACTGGGAATTTACTTGAATCTTCATGCGACTAACTGTACAGCAGAGAGAGACTGAAATGAGATCTATGGAAAACGAAAAGTTTAACAGTTTGATGTTGCTATGCACTCAGAATGATATTACAAATGAAATTAATTAGAATGATGTCATTAACGATTTCTCAATGACCAAAGCTCGAAGAACTGTACAAGTACAATGACAATGACTAAACGTAGAATAATGATGTCGAAAAGTAAAAGATAGTCGATGAAAAAGATGACAATTAACGATTTGAAACCAGTTAATACAGTAACGGAATACAGGGTTCATACAGGTTTAAAAAGAAATATCTATACCAGGGGTAGAGAACCTTTATAGATCAACGTGCCATTTTTTCTAAAGAAGTGTTTAAGGAGATACAGAGGTACCGTCAAATAATTTTGACTTGTGATTATTGGGAAAATAATAAAGCTAAATACTAACAACTCAAAACTCTTCATTTACTAGAAGAAATACATTTTATACAGCAAGTAGTAAATGTTTTAGTTGTTCGTGTCATTCAAATTAAAGTAACATTAGTGTGAGACTTCTGTTGGTGCAGATTGGATGACAAACAACTTATATAAGGATTGTAAGATGTTACTTTTAGTAGAATAGATGTTGAATTTTAGTCATTTTTCAAATGGTTTCTAAGTAATTAATTATTTTTGCTGTGGTTCACTTTTCTGACAACAGGATTCGTAATCTGTTTCAAAATGCCGTTTTACAGACAATGTTTTGCATACCACTGTTCCAGAACATAAAACACACACGGCTTTGTCGCCTTTACTAATCATGCCATATTTCTATAGATTCATCAAGTTTAAAATTCTCTGTTACACAAACTATCTTGCCCTTTTTGTTCTTTTGCTGAACTAGCCATGTTAAATAACAATTAAAATTCGTACATATAATGCAAGCAAACCTTAAAATACAGTTGTGTCAACGAAATTGACTATGCTAAGCGTAGACAAATTTTGCATTATAGGCAACTGTAGTCCACGACGTAACTAAGGCAAGACAACAAACGAGTGTGCTCCCCGTGACTGATCACTCGCGTTTGTTTGTAATACTTCATAGTGAACTTTGTTATTTTGAAATAAAATGCAAATCATTTGGATGGCTGGCGTGCCAAAATGATTGTGTTGTATCACCGCCCTATTCATTAATTTGCAAAAGGGCGGTCCGTGATGCTGTAAGGATAGAAATTAACCCCTCTCATTTCCTAAAGGTTGCTAATCTGGGACACGGCGGGTGGATAGTGGAAACTCTCCAGAGAACCAAACCAAAGAAATACAATAGAACCAAAACAGGCAAGGTAAGAACTGAAGGTAAGGGATGCTCTGGAAGTAACAATTTGAAGTGGGAGGTTAAAAAGGGCCCTGTAGATACACCTTCATCAGCATTAAAAATTTTTGTCGACATTTCGTCTTTAACAACCATAATCGATCACTTAAATCTTGCATATGCCGTTATTAATAAAGGGTGATGGTCTCAGATGTGAATTTAAAATGATTACACTTCATAATCTGATTATAATTTATGAATAATGTACCTCGCAATTACATCATAAAATGTTTCTTTTTATTTGTTACTTAAAGTTTCTATAGTGTTATATTCAAAGTAAAAACTTGCCGTATTACTGAAAAACAATAATATACTATAAATAAAACACGTATTGAAGTACACAAGCGTGTGTAAACTTTGTGCAATACAAAGATGCCACCCCAAGAGTTCCCTTCAATAAAGAGTCACTTATTTTATTATACTACTCAATTTTCTCCGAGTTTTCTGTTATTAAATGTATTTCACATTTTTTTTCTCCTATACCGTAATGCTAAATGAGCTATCCTTTTCCATTTTAAAAGGAAAAATTGTTTCTGGAATATTTTGAAATTTTAAAAACTTTAATTCTAAAGCTGCGAATTTCCATGAAAATTGAGGTCTGAAAATGTTCAGTTCAGGCTCTCAGTAGATAGAAAATCCATTTCACTCTTGTGTATTGCTTTTGGAGCTTTTGTCTTCCATCCTAGTTATTGTGTTCAAGTGCCGCGATTTAAAAATCGAGTTCCTCGTGAAATTATAAGAAAATCCAACGGAATGTTTTCAGTTGAAAAAGGAGATAACTGCATGTCACGTAGTCAAATTTTGAATAGCACAACGATTTTTTCTGATGATTGTTGAAGATGTTCTGTTCGGCATCAAGAACTGATGAAAATATTAAGAAAATTAATGAAATACTGTGTAAAGATCGGCGTTTGAGTGTTCGAAAGTTGTCAGATATTACGAACATTGACAGAGATATAATAGGAAAAATTTTGACCGAGGATTTGCATAAGACGAACCCAAAACTTGTAGCAAAAAAATGATCATTTGCTCTGACATCATATAACACGCTTCACAAAAAAAAAAAAAAAGAGAGATCCTGAACTGATTGAAAAACTCTTCACATGGGACGACCCAGAAACTAAACGACTCTGCCCATCATCACAAAGGGCCAAAAAAGTTGGAATGAGAAAGTCCAAGCTGAAAGTCACGCTCATCGGGGTTTTTATTTTTTTCGATATTAATGGTATTATCATGGTACCTCCAGACTAAATGGTAAACCACATTGAGGTCCTGAGAAAGCTTGGAGAAAAAGGAAAGGCCAGCAGATTTTGCACCAAGACAACGCCCCGTCGTGCTCTCTGTGAAACAGATCTTGGTGCCCGAGCATCCAGCGTACTCACCACACATCTCGCACTTCCTGTTTCAAAAATGAAAAAAAAAAATGCATTTTCAATCTGTAGAAAGCAAAAACGGTAACCTTACTGAAGGGGGCACCTAATGAGCTGTATCTGCGATTCTTCCATTAATCTTTTTGGGTAAACTGTGATTTCAGTTGAAAAACCCGCTCAGTGAAGAAGACGAGATTTATGCAAATGAGAACTTCTCTTTCAGCGTTTACATTAGAATAGACGACGATGGTTGAAAGCGGAGATTGAAGCGTAAATAAGATTACAACCGGAGGTCGTATAGTTAAGCAAGTTATCTAGAGAGAATCTAAGTAAGGGAGTCAACAGCGCTCCAATTATAAGTTTGTTTATAAAGTAATTAAATTAATCCCCCCCCCCTAAGTAACTGTTCTCCCGGGTTTAATGTTTGAGTGTATTCTGTCATTTTAATTGTGATTAAGTGAAAGCAATAATAAAATTGTTTTTAAATATGGCTGATCTTTGCTAGAACCCCCAAACCAACGTACTCAGGGACGTCACAGTGGCACCCAACGTGGGGCCCGAACCCGAGATTAAGAGTCTCGTGCTCAACCGACAGAGCTAGCCGGGCAGCTTCCAGGAGATCAGGGTTTTCCACTCCGGTCGAGCCTGCTTTTGTCTTGGATCAGTTTGCCAGACGCTGCAGCCAAAGATCACCCAGCGTGGAGGTCATCAGCGGCGACTCAACAGGGAGTCTTTAAAGGTTGTATTGTTTTTCAAGTGATAACTTCTCTATAGGCGCGTTTTGCTGGAGAGTGAACACGAATGAACGTCACGCTCGGGTTTGTAACGCTCATTCGGCTTTTTTCGTCTTTAGTGTGTAATCGTGCTCAGAGAAGGTCGTCCGAGACATACACACCCCTAAAAAGAAAAGGAGAGACGTTTCCCCCTTCCCCCGCCATTCCG